TTTATATTGGAAAACTTTTTTTTTTTTGAGACGGAGTCTCGCTCTGTTGTTCAGGCTGGAGTGCAGTGGCACGATCTCTGCTCACCGCAATCTCCGCCTCCCAAGTTCAAGTGATTCTCCTGCTTCAGCCTCCTGAGCAGCTGGGACTACAGGCGCATGCCACCATGCCCAGCTAAATTTTTTTGTATTTTTTAGTAGAGATGGGGTTTCACCATGTTAGCCGGGATGGTCTCCATCTCCTGACCTCATAATCCGCCCACCCTGGCCTCCCAAAGTGCTGGGATTACAGGTATGAACCACCACAACGGCCGTAAACATTTTAAATTTCCATTTATAGCATAAGCTTCCTTAGAAAAAGGACACATTTAAGCAAAATTGTATGAACTTCATATTTCTTGTAAAGTGCTATGAGAAAAGAAAACCCTCACTTGTATATTATACTGGGTACAAAGTGATTTCAAATGTACTATCTCATTTCTCCATGACTTATGCAGGGCAAATAACACAGATAAAGGCCTAAGGCTCAAGGTGGGTGAATAACTTCACCGAGGTCCAGTGCTTTTCCCACAACCTCATGCAGACATGATGTCCTTTGTTAACAGTCCTTAAATATGAGCCTAATATAAATTCCAAAAGGACTATTCCAGACATTCTATTACATAATAGTTTTATAATGGTCTGGAGGCTGGCACTCAGTAGTCTTCATTACACCAATTTACTTAACTTCATAAATTGTATAAATTACTCTAGATTTAAAATTTGAAATATTTTTGCTTTCCCAGGTATACAATAAAATCTACTGTAAATAAATTTAAGATTATGGTTTCCAAAATGGCCCAATGATTACAGCATCATTGTTCAAAGCATTTTTCTAAGATAGTTTATAATCTTCACACAGTAACATAGACTATTCAAGGAATATAGGATAGGCCGGGTGCAGTAGCTGACACCTATAATCTCAGCACTTTGGGAGGTCAAGGTGGGTGGATCATCTGAGGTCAGGAGCTCAAGACCAGCCTGGCCAACATGGTGAAACCCCATCTCTATTAAAAATACAAAAATAAGCCAGATGTGGTGGCAGGCGCCTGTAATCCCAGCTACTTGGGAGGCTGAAGCAGGAGAATCATTTGAACCCAGGAGGTGGAAGTTGCAGTGAGTGGAGATGGTGCCACTACACTACAGTCTGGGCAACAGAGCGAGACTTTGTCTCAAAAAAAAAAAAAAAAAGAAAAAAATTAGCATAAAGGTATGTTTATTTGAAACTGAACTCGAATCAGATATATTTACTCTAAATTCAGAATAGAATGGTTCACTTTATAAGGCATAATATTATCAGAAACCACGGTTAAGAAGTCAGGATGTGGGTACTAAAAACCAGGGATGATCAGTTTTAACAGCTATGGTCATTTATTATTGTGAGACTTTCCTAATATCAAAAAAAGCAAATTGAAAATTAAATGGAACTAAAACCCAAAGCATTAACTTAACTGAACTTAACCCTTTCTCCAGCTTTTTAAAATATTTTAAACAGCTTTTAAAACTTAAGTAAACTGTTAAATATAGCCTACTTCCATGTTACATTGATTCTCAGACAAGTTTTTTACACCCTTTAACATCCCAACAACTCTGAAATTGGGATGCATCATATAATTATGGCATATTACCATAAATTACCAAAAAATTGGCAGCATTTTCCCCTGCTAGGTGGTACATAAAACAATGATGATGTTTCTTTCTTCTTTTTTTTTTTTTTTGAGATGGAGTTTCGCTCTTGTTACCCAGGCTGGAGTGCAATGGCACGATCTCGGCTCACTGCAACCTCCACCTCCTGGGTTCAGGCAATTTTCCTGCCTCAGCCTCCCGAGTAGCTGGGATTACAGGCATGCGCCACCATGCCCAGCTAATTTTTTGTATTTTTTTAGTAGAGATGGGGTTTCACCATGTTGACCGGGATGGTCTCGATCTCTTGACCTCGGCCTCCCAAAGTGCTGGGATTACAGGTGTGAGCCACCATGCCCGGCCTAACAATGATGATGTTTCTTACAGTTGATGGCATCTTAGATTTGACAAATCACAGTATTAAACTGAAAAGACTGAATACATTGTGTCAAGATTTTACCAAGAAGAAAACTTAATCCATTTTAAACAAGAGGGCAGTATGACACATTCGTTCATTTGATACCTAACAAACTTCACTAAGTAGCTAGTTAGGACATGAGAGAATGACACTGAGCCACTTGGGGGAGAATGAAAGGACTCTGGAGAAGACAAACCTGGGTTTGAATATTGGGTTCAGTCACATAATGTGATCTTAGAGAACTGTCTTAGTTTCTCTGAGCTTCAGTTTTCTCTTCTATGAAGTTGGTATAATATTTATCTTTCAAGGTTATATGGGTGGCTGCTCCTCTGAGTACTCACATGTCTGCCCTTGTCTTTTCTTTACACATACTTACATTGCTTAATTCAATGAACATTTAAAAAGCTGGCAGGTAAGGAGAAAAACAAAAGGTTAACTATTCTTACCTGGAGCCTCCTGTGTGGTCCTGACAGTTTTCTTTGAGATTGTTTGGCTTAAATCACTTTGGGAAGATAATTCATCCTCTAAAAAAACAGATGTAACAAGAGTTAAAATTCAGAACATGACCTGGGAGATCATGGCACAGATTACGGATTTTTATAACAATAACAAAAGCAAAAATGCAAGGAATTCACTTCTTTAGAAACAGGTAGTTAGGTTTACCAAACTTAGGAATTAAACTAGTCAGAATTCCTCTTGAGATAGAATATAACTAATTCATCAGAACATAAAAATATTTGCATTGTTGTTTTATAAAAATATATTACTTCAGAAAAGTAAAAAGATGGAGTAGAGAGTCACAAATGGTGTGGAAGAAAGCAGAAGAGTGAAAAATGTTTAGATCCTTAAAGATTTAATAGAATAGGGGTACATTCTTTACTTCTAAAAAAAGTTAGCCGATATAACTGCACTGGGCTCTGTGGGACTCAATACAATGCAACATATTTATTGCCTACCATGTGCAAAGCATTCTTCCAAGTATTGAAAGATACTGGATTAAACCAAGTACTTAAATTACTATCAACTATATATAATAGGCTCCTTGTCTGCAAAAACTTTTAATCTTAAAAGAGATAAAACTAACACATATATGGGCCACACTGTCTTGAGCTGCTACATCCAAAAGTAACTGACGTAACTTTAACATAAAGTTTCCAAAATCAAGTCTTCAAATCTGTCAGTACCTTCACGAGTCAGCAGGAAAACCTGCAGTCTATCACCGTGCTCTAAAGTGCAAACCCACTCTTCCTCAAATCAATAGTCTACCACAAACTGTGTCATCCCATGGTGACTCAGATCCGCTGATTTTTACCTCGCAGGTACCTTACCGTGGGACTAACATGAAACTTCATCTGTGACTCAGTGTTAGGTTCCAGAATGGGGAGTGGAGGGCGGGGTGGGAGGAATAGGTTAAGGAAACTGATTGACCTACCACTTACCTAACACTGTACCTTCACTTTGTCAGCATCCCTTTTGTCCATTTGGATGAAAATGCTAATGAATAGTCTTGTTTTTCACGTTGCTTTGTCAGCCTGATTTACCACACTACTTTAGGTTACAGTGACGCTCACCAAAGTGGCACATTTTTAGCAGGGACCACCATACTGGAGAAAGAGCAATCAGCTCAAGTGTATCAGACACTGGGGAACATCAGTGCAGGATAAATGAGTTACCCCATTTCGGTGTAAGCACTGGGTGAGGTCTCAAATCAATTCACTGAACTCGGCAACCCCTCGAAATGCCCACTCACAAAATCTCTCCTTCTCTCCCCATCTGGGTGGGGAGGGAAAAAGACTGGAAGGTTAGATCCTCAGCTGGGGACTCTGGCCTGTGAGCTTTAAAGAAGGAAATGGAAGTGGTTTCGGTAGAAACATCCGCAGGGTAGAGAAAACCGAAATGAAACCAAACCTGGAATAATTCGCTGTCCCCTCGTGAAGGCCTGCAGAAACAGGCAGCCCTGACTCCCCTAAATTGATGCCCGATGTTGGGCAGAGCGCCCCAGCCCTGCTTCGGTCGCTCCGTACGACCATCTTTCCACTCCTTGGCTCGGCGCTTCCTTCCCGCTAGCGGGTCAGGATGGACGCTGCACGGGGGCACACGTCCGGAGGGGGCTGAGGAGTACCCAATACCCACTACCCAATCCCAGTACTTAGTACCCAGGCCGGGGTGAGATCCACCGAGGCGCGCGCCCGCCCTCGCGCGTTCCCTAGCTCGCGGTTGGGACTGTTACCTCCGCGGTCCTCACCTTCAGAGGAATGAGAGTCCCGCAGCCCTCTCCTAGCCGTAGCGGGAGACGGCTGTAGCGGAGACTGCTCTGAGTGCTGCTGCCGAAGGCGGGTAGCCCTTCGCGTCTTCATCTCTTCAGCTTCCTGGGGTAGCGGCTGCCTCCGCTGCCTAGACCGAAGATAGTACGCGCTTTCTCTCACTTCCTCTTTCGCCGAATCGGGCCGGAACTCTACTAGCCGGATTCGTTTTCCCACCGGGGACCTTTCTTTGGCCACCCGGGGCTCGAAGTCGCCGTACACTTCTGGCGGCTCCTCAGAAAACCTCACTTCCCGCCGGCCCTGGCGCGACAGAGGAGTTGCGTACGCAGGCGCATCGCTGCTGCCGCCATTTTGAGGGGCGAGCCGGCCCCTTCCTTCTCGGATGGGGGCCCTGGGGGTGACGTACATACCCAATCCTTCCCGCACCGCCTCCGGCCGCCGCCCCTCCCCCGCCATAGTTGTTGACGTAGCTTGAGTTGATCGCGAAGATGGCTTTAATGGACCCTAGGTTCTCCTGCCGGTGGTGGCGATGGCTTCTCGGGGGTGTTAGGCGGTGGTCGCTGTGGTCAGGGAGGCAGTTGAGTGTCGCCGGGGCCGCCACCTGCGTCGTCACTGCTGTGTAGCAAACCTGCCTCTGGGCCCATGGTGTGTCTTGAGGGCTGTGGGAGAGGCAGTGCCTGAGCTGGGTCAGCTGCTGTGGGTCGCTCCCGCCTCCTGGCTGGAGGCACCAAAGAGGAGGAGAAGGGGGAGGAGGACGTCTCTGCCATCGGCCTTAAGTAAGGGAGGGGTGGGGGTGACAGAAGGGTGGCAGGGCAAATTGCCTGTCCTAAGTCCAGCCGCTCGTGACAAGTGTTGCCTTCACGCAGGAAGGCTCTGGAAAAACGAGTGAGACGAGGATGGAGAAGACCAAGTTTCGCTTCTTGGCCCCAGGCTGTTGCGCAGTTCCCCTGGAATCTTTTTGATCGATTGTTACGTTGCCCATGTCCTTGCCAGTGTCCCTAGCAGAAGTGATGGCCAGAGAGATAACTTTTGCACATGTCATGTTTTTGTGGCGAAAATTTTAGTTTCAAGTTCCTTATGAAGGCAGTTACCTAGTTTTAAATTTTGTCACCTGTTGAGAGTGTACAAAATCCCATCTACAGTCATAGTCGTTGGAAATATTTTCTTTTCTGAAATATATCCAGAGGAAACATAACCTTATTCCTGTTCTTTAATATTTCTTGGTTTTATACCAAGAAGCACTGTTCGGAAGACCATGTTAGTGCTACATTATACACAGTGAGAAGCGAGCAAGTTTTTTGATTAAAGGCAGCACTGTAATTTTAAGTTGTGATCTATTACTTTTATTCTGGATATGACGTGATACTCTACATTTGATTTAGCATGTTTTGTGGACTTCATGGAATAAGAGCATGATAAAAGCTATTTGTTTCACCTCCATATACCATGTTTACAGATGTGGCTAATCTTCAAATACCTAACCAAATTTAGACACTCAGGGAAGGTCAATTAAGTTCGTGTAAAGTCTGAATTGTTGACAGAAAGCTTACTTCAAAAAAATAAAATAAATAAATAAATAAAAAGGCTGAGCGCGGTAGCTCATGCCTGTAATCCCAGCACTTTGGGAGGCCAAGGCTTGTGGATCACTTGAGGTCAGGAGTTCGAGACCAGCCTGGCCAACATGGTGAAACCCGGTCTTAAAAAAAAAAAAATTAAATTACTTTCACATGTACAACTTCTTGTAGGACTTTGTATGATTGATTAGAGTGAATCGATTTTAAAAATTGTAACCCAGCCTGGATTAGATGCTGTATTTTGGAAATTTGCTAGATTTACTCTTCTCCAATAAAATGCTGAAAAGTATTGATACCGTAATATGTGGCTTTCATTTATGTTTTAAGTAGCGCTTTCTCTTTAAAGTGGCTATTACATGACTCATTAGCAACACGATAGTAAACCCTAATAGATTTACTTATTAAATGTAAATTTTATAGTAATATATTGAGTTCATGTTATGAATATTAAAGCCTCCTTGAAACATTTTACAAAGACAGGTGACTGTAGAAACTGGGATACTAGCTTATAAACCTCGGATACAGGCTTGTAAAACCTAGGTTTGAGGGACAGATTGAAAAAGAGACAAGAGTCTACTAATTCAAGTTGAATTAGAAGTTGAGAGATTCTACATATTACTGAATAATCAGAATATGCATATTTTGTAATTAAAACTGCTTGTAAAGGCTTAGGAATGGCCTTTCAACTAAATTAACGAGACACTTACTGTAAAATTAGAGGCATGGTAACTTTAATGCTAACATATATATGTGTATATGCATAGGATTTTCCCTCTTTTGTCTAGGTTGTAAGCATATAGAAACATACCTCTACTGTGATTGCCTCCTTCACCTAGAAACTGTGCAGATACCAAACTTTCATCACTGCGAGGCAAAGCTAAACTGTTGTCAAACTAGATATTCTGCTGTAGCTATTATCCAGTCTCTAAGAGCGGCTCAAAACAGGTGACATTACAGTGACAGTAGACTCATAGCCAATATTATAAGGGATTTCCTGGGCCACTAATAACAAAAGGAGGCCTGAATTCCGGATGTTAAAGTTACTTTGGAAATTTGAGAAATGTGGAGGAATTCAGTGACTCAAAAAAGACCAGTATGAAAAAAAAATGATTAAAGCAAAGAATGCACTTAATAATTCATTTACTGATGAAACATCTATTGTGTGCCAGTAATGAGGAAGACTGCTTTACGGTTAGGAAATTTGCCATTTATTGGGAAAGACAGAACATGAAAAATGACAATTCAGATTAAATGACTGGCATTAATTCACACACTTAGCTATTAGGGCTAGACCTAGAAATCCTGTGCTCTTGAGACTGGGTTCCTAAATCAGTTATTTTATTTTTATTTAGTTAATTAGTTAATTTTGAGATGAAGTTTTGCTCTTTCACCCAGGCTGGAGTACAATGGCTTGATCTCCGCTCACTGCAGCCTCTGCCTCCCCATCCCCAAAGCGATTCTCCTGCCTCAGCCTTCTCCTGTCTCAGCCTCCCAAGTAGCAGGGATTACAAGCACCTGCCACCACACCTGGCTAATTTTTATATTTTTACAGAGGTGGGGTTTTGCCATGTTGGCCAGGCTGGTCTTGAACTCCTGATTCGGGTGATCCACCCACCTTGGTCTCCGAAAGTGCTGGGATTACAGGCATGAGCCATTGAGCTCAGCCAAAACCAATTCTTTTAAATGAAACATTTTAAAACAATAAATTTTTGTTTAGGGTATGTAGAAATTCAGTTAAAGAGAAAGCATCTTTTTTTTTTTGAGATGGAGTTTCGCTCTTGTTACCCAAGCGGGAGTGCAATGGCGCGATCTGGACTCGCCGCAACCTCCACCTCCTGGGTTCAGGCAATTCTCCTGCCTCAGCCTCCTGAGTAGCTGGGATTACAGGCATGTGCTACCATGCCCAGCTAATTTTTTTTTTGTATTTTTAGTAGAGATGGGGTTTTTTTTTTGGGGGGGGGGAGGAAGGCAGGAAGGAAGGGAAGAAGGACGGTAGGGAGGAAGGAAGGGATGAAGGAAGGAAGGAAGGGAGGAAGCGGGGAGGGAGGGAGGGAGGGAAGGGAAGGGAGATGGGGTTTCACCATGTTGACCAGGATGGTCTCGATCTCTTGACCTCGTGATCCACCCACCTCGGCCTCCCAAAGTGCTGGGATTACAGGCTTGAGCCACCATGACCGGCAAGAGAAAGCATCTATCCATTGTGACTTAGTAGAAATGAAGTAGGCAACATTGTTATTTTTAATAAGGAAAAGATGATTAAAATATTAAATAGTAAGTTAATTAAAGACATAGTAGCTGGCTCCATTTATTCCTCATTCTTACAAGTGATTGAAAAAATATTTTAATAATACAAATGAAAATATCTACCTGGAAATGTGACACTGAAATTAAACACAATGAAGTGAATGGAATATAGTATTCTACTTTGTTGAATTAGAAATTGCAGTTAATTATTAAACAGCATCCAAGAGTGTTACCAAATCCTGTCACTTCTGCCAAAAGAGGATGATTGGAAAATGAAGGCATCAAAAGTCATATTACATGAGGAATTATTAATTCAATAAATACTTGAGGTACTATGTAGTAGGCAGTCCCTGTTCTCTGTGCTGGGGATACAGCTGTGTGCAAAATAGACTGAAAGAAAAAAAACGTTTTCTGTCTTCTTAGAGATTATATTCTATGGGAGGAGTCAAGCAAAAATCAAAATAAGTAAAATAGTGTGTTGGTCAGGACTGTTACAGAAAAAAAATGAGGAAAGGGGAAAGGAGTTTTACATGAGTAGATTTCTTCTGTGTTGTCTTGAATTGGCGTGGGTCAGGAATAGGAGTTTTAGACTTACTCGATTTTGCTCCCAACCAATTGTATGTTCTTGGGTAAGTTGCTCACCATCTCTTTATTTTCACATTTATAAAATTAATAGATCATAGCAATAGCTATTTTTTGTTACTGCTGTCATTTAGTAGACACGCTGCATACATCATCTAATTTACTCATAACAATCTTATGAAGTAAACAACGTCCCCATTTGACACACGAGCAAACAGATTAGATTAGGCAACTCTTTTTGAGGACATTCTCCTCTATTCGGTACTGGTTCTCACTGTGTTGGTCCTGAGTTAGGTCATATGGGTCAGGGTGGTCAGACGTCTTGCAGAGTTTCCTGCAATCCTGTCAGATAGCTTGAGAACTCGGGGATCTTTGAAGGTTGGTTGCACACATTTACCGTGCCTATCGCTGGGTAAGACGACCTGGCAGTAGAGGGCGAAGGATGGAGGAGAAGGCGGCAGAAGGCAGGGCACAGAGACTACTACTCCCAGAATTCCACGGGCTCCTTCCCGCGGAAAGTGTCGGTCATATGGGCGGGGACGCTGGACGACATTCGGGCCGCGGCGGCCGCTGGGTGCAGCCGGGCGGTGTGGAGTGGAAAGAGCACTCGAACGGCTCCCCTGATACTAACAGTTCTACGATTTAAAACCCCGCCAGAATTTGTAAGTAAACAAAATGACTGTACAACTTTTCTATGTTTTAGTATTGGAACTGATATACTGAATTTTTCAAAAGAGCTTTCAGAAACGGTCCCTCCCCACCCCCACCTCCCTACTGCCCAAACGATATTTTTATTTTTATTGTTTTTGAGACCGGTACTTGCCCTGTCACCCAGGCTAGAATACGGTGTCGCGATCATAGCTCACTGCAGCCCCGTTCTCCTGGGCTCAAGCGATCCTCCCGCCTCAGCCTCCCGAATAGCTGGGACTACAGGCCCGCAACACCATGCCCCGCTAATTACTTTATTTTTTATTTTTGTAGAGACAAGATCTCACTATATTGCCCAGGCTGGTCTCGAATGCCTGGCTTCAAGTGATTCTCCCGCCTCGGCCTCCCAAAGTGGTGAGATTACAGGCTTGAGCCACCACACCTGGCCTCACTCGAACAGTAAACGAGGTAGGTTGGGGTTATATTTTCGTTTCGGGATAAAAAGAAACAGAATCTTATAAATATTAAACGGGTTAAGATGTGAGTAAATTTTTAGCTTTAAACTTTAAGGTGAGAAGCAGAATTATTTTAGGGTTCGAAATGTAAGTGGGAAATTTTCCTACTAGTGTAGGCGGCGATTACTCCATGCCCGGCAGGCCTAGGATCTCAGCATTCATCAACTTAATCCTGAAAAGATAGTAATTAAAAAAAACATGGTGCTAAAAAGGACAAACTTGTAGTTTTATTAAGACCTCCTACCATTTTGCTTATATATTATGTATGTACCATACTCTCAGTTGTATTTCATACCGGATAAAAAAGTTTGCACCTTTTCCTTCTTTTAACAAAGTTCTTAGTACTCTCTACTTCATGAGTAATGCGTGATTATCAGACTTGATACTGTTACACAGATCCAGAAATGAAGTTACACAGATTAAACATATTGGTTTTGTTTTACCTGTCTTTAGTTTTTAAAACATTTTATTTTGGATCTGTTTGAAAGATCCTTTCTTTGTTTTAAGCTGTGGCAGCTATCCATGTTTTTTGAGTTTTATTTTTTCAGCACAAGATGAGTATAAAGGGGCCAGTGGAAACATTTAATAAAAAAAAAAAAAAGAACTCGAAGTAGAGTAACTATAGATGTTCTTGGAAGCCTTTGTGTGGATTAGAACAGTTTGAAAAACCAACATTTGCTGTGAGAACTGAGTGCCTCTCTTCAGTAATGTTTATTATGCTGAACGTGCAGTCCACAACTTGATTACCTGTTTTTCTGCAGGTTTATTACGTAACCTTGGGTGACTCATTTAAGCACTATTTTATCTAGTTTCTTTCTAATGTAGAGGTAATGTTAGCTTGAGAACTTCAATAATTAACAAAGAATTTAACTTCAGAATTTAGCCAATTATTTGAGGATTATTGGGTATTTTAATAATGCGTTGTATCTTGTATATAACTTATTTTTGCCTAAGAAGTCATTTCTGTATTCCATTCATTTCCATGAACTCAGAAGTCAAAACTGTATTCCAGGAAAATCCACACTTCTTTGAAGTGCTACTTGAATTTCCTGAAGGAAAGTTTGCTTCAAGAAGCCTTGTCTACTTTCTCACTTTGAGGTTGTTCACTAAGCCAACTATGAAGGCACATTAACCTGGAGGTTCTACAACCTCCAAAAAAAATGGAAAGAATGAAGAATTGGCTGTTTTTATTTACCATTTAGAATTTTAATTGTGTTAAAGTTTCATTAATATTTCTGCATCATATGAACCACTGGATTAAACTGTGTCCCACAAGAAGGAATTTAGTAGGTGATCATACATTATCATAAAT